TTTGATGATGAGTGTGACAGTATTTGACAGTTGAGTCACAGAACAAGAAAGAAAAAGTATATTTACTATTTTAGCAGTTAAAATTAGGTACTAATGTTTTTGTAAGATAATTACATCAATCAAGGAGTTTTTGTGGACTGATTTTCCACTGCTGTTTCAATTCTTAATTATGACAATGCATATTCATATTTAAAAAAAAATTGCAAAATGAAATAATAATATGTAACAGAAGGCAAGGTCATCAGAGGTTAACTTTTATTGTTTATTGTAATTTTGAGACTGAAGAACAGAAAAATATCTTGTTTGTACAAGACCACTAATTTGTTTTGAATAGGTGACTATGTTAGCCTATGAATGATTTTCAAAAACATGAAATTGCTTTTTTTAACTATTTAACTTTTTTTCCTTTATAGAAATCTATTAGACAAAGATGTCATGTCAAAATCGGATCCAAGTAAGTATACATAACTTAACTTTACAACCATGAAGTATCTTGTTCATATGGCAAATACTAAATGCAAATAAATGTATTCATATTGATTCTGTTTCATTCAAATATTTTTTTATGTACACTTTACAGTTTCTTAGATATGCTTTGACCAATTTTTTCAATAAATTTGGTTTTACTCTGTAGGTAGGTAGCTTGTTATCTTTGAATGCCAACAATTTATTAATAGTCCACATTTATAATTCACACTTGTTTACAGAGGTAAAATGTAAATCTGTCAATTAAGTGAAACAATTATGTATAACATGCCTTCAAGGCCATCAAGCAAATTTCAACTCTTATCAGTCTTCAAGTCAACTTTTGTCTGCTATCACAAAACACAGACACGATTGTGTCCATTGAAGGTAATGGGAAATTATGACCAATGCGACCCCTAAAAAATAGAAAAAAACAAAATAATTTGCATTGTTTGAAAAAATGGTATTCTAATGATGAACAGCAAAACAAGTGTTCTGTGTGCATCCATGGATTATCAGTTTGTTTAGTATCAGCTCAATGATTGGTTAGTTCTGTCTCATTATTATTCCTTGTTCAAATACTAGTAGTACTTGTATTAACAATCTTTTTGAATTTGATTTCAGTGTGTGTCATGTACACCACCCAGCTTGGATCAACCAATTTTGCAGAGGTGAGTCTGAAGGTGTCACTGACTACTTATGAATTAGTATACCGTACTTCCCCGAGTATAAGCCCAGGGGCATGAACATGTAAAATCGGGAAAATTAGGGGGTGGGCTTATACTCGAGGACCACCTCAAAAAAGATAATTTTTTGGGGGTTTTAAAATTGTAACCATCTTCCCAACCAGGAAAAATTATCCAAATTACATTTATTATCGTTCACAGGGCCGGTCTCAGAGAAATATTACGTCTTTTTGATTTCCATGACACTTTTTACAATGAAGAAACAAACATGTTCATAAAAATACACACATTTTATTACAATACGGTTTACATACCGTCTGAATTTACGGTGCAAAAATAGGTAGGGTCTGTGGGAAAACAGTCGAAGGCAAGATCTTTATCATTATCTTTGTTGTGGAATGTTTTCGATTGTAGCAAACTCTCATACAAAGCAATTTCCGCCATGGTGTTTTTAGTCCCCGTTCAGACGCAGTCTGAAAACAGGGACTTATGTTTTGACCCTTGTGCATCCGTGCGTGCGTCCGGACCTGTATCTTAGAAATGCCTGGGCGAATCATAATCAAACTTCACACATACATCATACATGATATTATACATATGCACATCAATATGTTTCACGATCTGATTCAAGATGGCCGAATGGTGGCCATTTTTGTGCTAAAAAATCATCATAATCAAGCATTTCTCAGCTGTTTACAGATGGATTTTGTTCAAACTTGGTATATACATTAGACATTATGGGACCTTGATGCAAATAATTTTTAAATTTATTTCTCAGATGAATTTCTTTAATGAATGGGCTTCTAAACCCATATCTTAGACTTGCTTTGACTGATTATGTTCAGATTTATAATATTCATTATACATCATGTTATAGATATACAGATATATTGGTTTGACGATCCTTGTCAAAATGGCCGAATGGTGGCCATTTTTGTGCTAAAAAAATCATCAAATATCAAGCATTTCTGGCATTTATGGATGGATTTCGTTCAAACTTAGTACATACATTAGACATTACAGGTTCCTGATGCATGTCATTTTATTTTTCAGATCGGATTCAAAATGACTGACTGGCGGCCATTTTGTTTTAATGAATGGGCTTCTAGACCCATATCTCTGACTTGCTTTGACTGATTATGTTCAAATTTTATATATTCGTTATACATCATGTTATAGATATATACATGTATTCAAAATGGCTGATTTTGTTTTACCCCGGTAATTAATGTTGTTTCAGAGCAATATCTCCCAATATGGACAAGTACTTGTTTGACGATCAAATACAAATGTCAATCATTTTAATGTTAACCAATCATCATAATCATATTCCTGACATGGTTATATTCCAGCTATAACTAACGGGGACTGTGTCATGCATGGCTTGTTCATCATGATTTGACCTGAACAACTTCCTTTGACCTAACAGGTCACGTCTTTCGTTAACCAATCAAAATACTGTGTCATACAGATGAAGTATCCCGATTATTGACGAAGTCATTTTTTCAACGCAATGCGGAAGTGAAGTACCGCAATGTTAAAATGATCTGATTTCAACAAAAAATGGTGATTTTTTCCCTAAAGCTGTTGATTCGTAATTTTCGAAAGGTAAACTGAGGATAGAGGAATTATTTAAACTTTTCACGGTCGTCAATAAGTCATGTCGAAGAATAGTTTGCTTGTTCACATCCCATTCACGAAAGTCTCAATGGACATGTAAAAGTAAAATGATGTTCAATGACCAGGTTTCACGACTTGACGATCACATTTTTGGCGTTTCTAAAACTACTTCTCAAAAGAAATACGGATTACATGTACTTCAGTATTGCAACATCGAGGTTCATTCTGAGTAAATAACAGAATAGAAAAGGTGCGAACCATGTTTCGTACGTGCTCCGACCATGCACTCTGAAATTAATGCGAGTTTACTCGTAAAAACAGGAACCAAACTACCGTACCAATCAGTATTATTATGCAATGAAATACACTTTTTACATGCATATTTGTAATAAATTTCGTTGATGCCCAGTAAAAACACTCTGGGTCTATACTTAGGGATGTCCTCAACCTGTTAAATGTCTAAAAACAGAGGGTGGGCTTATACTCGGGGAGGGGCTTATGCTCGGGGAAGTACGGTAAAATCTCAACCATATTTTGATTATTTTGTTTAGATATGATGTCAATGTGGCCTACTAGTCACAGTTGTTTCAACTTAGATAAAACAATTTTATTTTACATGAAGAACTGAAAATTGATGTTTTGGAATGAATTTTGTGTCTGTCAACTTTATTATGGTCTACTTACAAAATTGATGTCATGAATCTGTTAGTACTGTGGAATACTTTATTTTCGCTGGAATTAATTTTCGCTGAGAAGGCTTTTTGGGCGTTTTGTATGGAATTTATTTTCACTGATTTTTGATGAGTTTAATGTTAAATATAGGAAAAAAAGTATA